GRGGGGGGGGGGGGGGGGGGGGGGGGGGGGGGGGATGGTCACTCGATATKGTTWCGYGCTTGCGTWTGTCTCTCCAMCCTAGCCAAAAAAAAAAGGGGTGCTTCGGTGACGTCACTCAATATTCCATTTTCGTAGTTAAAAAACGAGTTTGCAAAAGTTGTCAAGCTAAGCACGAAGGTGTGCTTCTATGGTGACGTCACTCGATATTTTATTTTCGTAGTTGAAAAATGGGATGGAAGTTGGTTGCTTGGTTGAGCAACTTTGCTGACCATTTTCCGCTTTTTTTTTGGGGGGGGGGAGGGGGAGGGGAGGTGTGTGTGTGGGGGGGGGGGKTAAAGSYACTGSGGGRTTYTTGAGKGRGCCGGGRGGGTTGTGGTTTTGTAAGTAGGTGTTAAACAGTTTTTTTTTTTTTCCCGCTTCTCTTATGTGCTCAAATCCCTGTCCAGTTGCGAAGGCAGTAGTGTTATTGTACGTTCTTTCCCTTTTCTCCCATCTCCTATTCTCTCATTCTCCTTTTTTTTTTTTTTTTTTTCTCTGTCGTGTTTTCCAAAGCTTTTGAATTGCATACGTTGTTGAACATGTGTATGCTGTGTTTATCTTCTCCATTGTTTTTAATAATGAAAATTATTGTATTTCCAAATGAAGAACCATGAGATGAGGCAAGGATTCCTCACAAACAACCCGGAAGTATCTCATCTTATCTTATGTTATAGTATCTTATCTTATCTTATCTTATCGTATCTTATCGTATCTTATCCGTTGGGGGTTTAAGAACAAGGAGTGGGGATCCCAATCTGTCCAAGGGTTTAATTAACAACGAGCAGAGGGGAGGGACCCCAATCTGTCTGAAAGGGTTTAATTAACTGCCAAGGAGATAATACTCCTGTGGGCATTTAACTTAACTTTGACGTTCGTGGCGGCAATTTCGGCGTTTTTTTGACGGGTTCCCGCCAGTAGGATGTGACTATTTCGATTCAGAAAACGTCGAAAAAATTGCGGCCAGGATCGTCAAAGTGAAATGACCAAAGGGGTAATAATCTTATCTTATCTTATCTTATCTTATCTTATCTTATCTTATCTTTTCTTTTCTTATCTGTTGGTTTACAGTTGTGAAACCACTGAACCCAATTTCTGCATTAGGGTTTAGGGTAGAGTATCTTATGGCTTGTTTCTTCTGGTGGGTTCAAGGAAGAGGTTGTGGGTTGGTAATTGTGCCTGAGCAGAAATCAATGGTGAAACGGAATAGACCCTTGGCCCTTGGCCCTTGGCAATGGCAAAAAGGGGGCAAGGCAACTGGAGGGGGCGCAAGGGAGGGCGGGGGCACGGAGGCGGGGGGAAGAAGGCGGGAGAAGGTGGGTGATGGTCACCATTTTGCTCAGGCTAAAGAAATCTCCGTGGTTAAGGTGGAGATGGTCAAAAAAGGTGGTGGTGGCAGGGGTACAGGGGGAAGAGGAGGAGAGGAGGAGAGGTGGTGGATATAATATAGTGGAAAATCGGTTTGTATCTTTAGGTGATGGCTTCCATACATGGAAAGCAAACAGATAAGGAAAGACTTATCTTGAATCGTTTTGATGAGAGAACAGTTGTGAGTGAGGCATCTTTTTTTTTTTTTTTATGTTGAATTTTTCAATTGAGAGCGGAAAAACTGACGTTGTAGTCTCTAGGGCCTGCTGGTAGGGTTAGGGGCTTAGCAGGGTTAATAGGGTCCGTTTAGGACCAGTACCGTTTCAGTCCAGGGTCTGGGTTAGGACCTACGCTGTTAGGGGTCCGTTTTAGGGGTTTAGCAGGGTTAGTAGAGTCTGGGTTAGGACGTACGCTGTTAGGGGTTTAGCAGGGTTAGTAGGGTCCGTTTAGGACCAGTACCGTTTCAGTCCATTCGAGGACTGACCAGGATTCATTTTCGTTTTGGCGCCAGTATCCTAGTTTAGGCGCCATTCTCCTGTTGGGACCCGGTTTCGTTTCATTTTCGTTTTGCCGACAGTGCAGTATCCTGGCCCAGCCACACAGCAGTAGTTCGAGGCTGGACTTCGGACAGACCAGCACTATATATAGCTGGCCCTCCTCCAGTCCAGCAAGTAGTATCCTGAGGGAGCTCAACGTAGTATTGAGGCAGTGCCTTCGTAGTCTTCAGTAATTGATGCGCTGGGCGCAGTAGCATTGGAGTAGAGCGTGGTCTTCCAGCGCTGCGCTCTGTGCTATGAGTACTCGAGCTTGGGCTGCAGTACGCTGCAGCAGGGACCAGGGAGTTGAGACTGGTGGAGGCCAGGGGACTTAGCTGACGACTTACCTGTGATGCCATCGATCCAGCTTTGTCTTCAGCATGTCCATACCTGCATCAAGGCGCCACCTTCTGCAGGTCAGTACCTGGATACATCCGAGATATAGAGAGAGAATTCCATCTTGTTCTTTCTTTCTCTTCCTGCCCTCCATTGCCCCTCCTCCTTTCCCTTCTGGAGCTCTTCTTCTTTTTCTTCCTCAGCTGAGGGGTGTGTGTGTGTGTGTGTGTGTGTGTGTGTGTGTGTGTGTGTGTGTGTGTGTGTGTGTGTG